TCATCATGACATCTGCAATGGACAAGAAGAACCAAGAAGACCAAGCAGATGCTTTGCCTTTCCAGTTGCCTGACTCTGACAACTTAACTCCACAACAGGAACTCAGACAACTTAAACTGAAGCATGGTGGGTGGGCACTGGCCCCTAGTTTGGTCACTGAAGAATCAATGTTTCAGAAATCTTTGGTTTATGAAGGTGCAAGGCCACTCTGGGCTTTGTATGCAAGGATGGCCAAAGAAGTACAGCAGCCAGAGCAGGTTCTTCAGTTCATAGTTGACATGTCCCTGGGGGATTGGGTGCATGAGCTCCATTCATTGATAGAGAATGCATTCTTTGATGTGAAGACCCTGAGAAGCTTGTATTTTACAGATGGCTCAGACACTGCTGACCACTTGCAACTGCACACCAAGTTCATTTTAACACTCTTGGGCAAGAGGGCCTCAAGCCTTGCAGCAACATACCTCAGACCTCCCTACAGGTATGCTGCTTTGGCATCACCAATTGCTGAAGTTGAGCAAAGGACTAGAAAGGTCATGCAGGAAGAGTGGAAAATTGTTTTGAGGGCAGAGGAGATGTCAGCCAAGGGGCACCACATCCTGCCCCTTGACCACACACACTTTTTGGGCGCTGCTTTCCACAGAGCCTTTTATCTGGCCAATGAAATGGACACAGTTAACAATCTGCAGGGTGACCAGGCCAGTGCACAGATGTTGGCCAAAGTTGCATGCCAGCACTTGGGGGACACAGTTTGCATTGAGAACACGCATCAGAAAGCAAAGGATTTACTTAGGAGCGCCAGGCACCAGCAGGCAGGCAGACTGAGCAAAATGCATTCTGTCATTACAAGCAATGTTCTGGCAGGAAGGGGCATTGACTTCCTCAAGGTCAGTGAGTGTGACAAGGCAGCAGCTACTGTTGGAAAGCAGACATCTTTGCAGGTTGTAAGGACAACAAACCCCAATTCTCACAAAATGCAAAAGCCGTTTCAGGATGTCATGAAGTACAAGGCAGACAGAGCAGGATTTACTTGGCAGAGTTCTTCTCTTGAGGGCTTGATGAATGAGGCTGCAAGTTTTGAGCTTCTGGTTTCCAATGGCATTGATTTGGTGCCAGTGGGGGACATGCAGTCAGCTGCAGTAACTTGCTTGGTTGGGCTACCTGGTGGTCTTGTTGCAAGCAAAGATGAAGGCAGAGTGTTCCTGATTCTGGCAGTTGGAACCTTGAGTTTTCTTGGCTGGGAGATGGAAGTTGTAGGGACAAATGGTGCTGATGGTTTTGCATGTTTTCAGTGCTGCAGGCAGAAGAGGGCAGCCTCTTGGCACAGTGTGGCTGACACCCAGAATTGGCTAGCCATACCATTTGGCCCTAAGTTGCAAAACCGCTTTGGGCCTCTTCTGTTTCAGCAGTCAAGCAGGGCCCTGCCTTTGATAGAAGCTAGGATTCAGGAAGGCTTGAGCTTGACTGTTGCACAGTGCAAGATTGTGCTGGGCCATTATGGGCAGGAGCCAAAATCCAAGACTAAGGCAGATTTGTATAAGCAGGTCATTGCCTTGGTCTTGAGCAATGAAGAGGAACAGAAAGCTGCTTTTGAGAAATCAGACTTGAAAAAGCCAAAAGCTGCAGAGGGAGATGAAGATGAAGATTTGTCTGAGCTTGAAGACCTCTTAGATCATGTGGAGGATGCTGGCAACCTAGCAGACCCAGACATCAAGGCTGAAAAGCAAAAGATCAAAAATGCAAGAAAAAAGAGAGAGGCAAAACAGACTGTGGAAGCAGGGGATTTGTTGAACCCCAAAAGGGGTAGAGGCAGAGGCAGGGGCAGAGGCAGGGGCAAAGGCAAGGGAAGAGGGAAAGGCAAAGGCCGCTTTGGCAGAAAGGGTGCTAGACAGACCAAAGTGGACAATACTGCTGACCCTTTTGAGCAGCCATTGCCTTCTGACACCACAGAGGCAAAAATGAAGGTGGGTGGAGCTGCTGACCCTTTTGAGCAGCCATTGCCTTCTGACACCAGAGATGCAAAAATGGAGGTGGGTGGAGCTGCTGACCCTTTTGAGCAGCCATTGCCTTCTGATGCCAGACAAGCCAAAATGGAGGTGGGTGGAGCTGCTGGCACTTTTGAGATGGCTGCTGCTGCACATGAAGTTGTGGCTTTTCCTGCAAAGGAGGATGAGGAGGCTGAAAAGAGAGCAAAGAAGAGCACACCTGCACCCAAGTACCATGAGAGTCCACACCACCTTTTGGACCCACTTGCTCCTCCAGGTGCCAAAATCACATTGTCCACCATGGACCACAGGTGGATTGTAACTTTCAAAGCCCAATCCAAGAGCTTCATGTGGCAAACACCACCTTACAGCCAAAAGTCCTACTCAAAGAGATTTACTCAGGACACATGGCAGAGCATGCTTCAAGATGTGCATGAGTATGCCTGGCAGAAATGGAGCTTTGCAGCAGAAGAGGGGGAAGCTGTTTTTTCCCTGAAGGGGAAGGAAAGGCAAACCCCTGGCAAGTTGGATGCAGATGTTTGCTTGAAACTTGCAGATTGGGTGGTAAATCTACCACCACCCAAGAAGTATCACAGGGCAAATGAGTCTTGAAAAAGATTCCTTGCAGCTGCTTTTGTGCTGCTGAGTGGGGGTTGGGAGGTGAGGACTGAGTGAGGACCTATTGGAAGTTTGTGGTACTTTTTTGAATGATAAAGAATTAAGAATAATTTTTTTGAATTATAAAGATTTTTCTGGAACTAGAGCCTGCACTGACAGCCCTAGATGGCAACATCTTAAAAGTAACCCTCTTGAAAGTATACTAGGGCTCGCAAATGAACAACCATAGGTTGTCAGGCTTACAAACCCGACATGGTGGACAAACACACATGTCATGTTTACTAAATATTGTGCATTTTTCATAAATGTTTATCAACCCTGCTAATCATTTGTTAAATGGAACCTAGTTTTTTAGTCATGTTTAGCCTACTTCGCTGAAGTTGGGTAAAGGATTTGGCTTGTTTAGCCCACTTGGCTAAACGCGACTGTCTTGTTTACAAAACAAAAATAAATGGAACTGGCCTACTTATAAATAGGCCTTAACCGCATCAAAATTGTGTTTTTCGGGTCCGTGGGGTCGTTTTTTTGTTGATTTCGTTTGTCGTGGAAGGTTTTCGCCAGCAGCGCAATGTTGATTTCTAGTTTGCCGACCGCGTTCGATGGCAAATTTGTGGATTGTTTCATGCGCATCTCAAGCTCGATGGGTTGCTTGCAAATTGGCAAAGATATGGAAATGAAATTCTTGCAACATTGTAAAACTTAGATTTCGGGCTGCTAGCAGCAAGAAAGTGTAGACGTATGCGCATTATATTTTTTGAGGATTCTGACCACGAGTTCCCATGAAACGCCGTGACCGCACCGCACTGTCGCCGGCCCATGTGCACTGGTTCATGGACCTTGGCGACATCGAGATTGATGAGGCGTCGTCTCTGACTTGCTGGAAGACGGTTTCAGTGAATATGTTTTGAGCTTTGTGTTCTACCTTGCTTGAAGAACTTTTCACGCGTGTGTTTGTTGCCACTGTTTGATTGCCATTGCTTTGAAACGAGTGCATCAAAGAAACCAGAGTTTTGACAGAAAGAGCGTTACATGAACTTGCAGGGCATCTGACATTTGCTCGTTTTGACAGGTATCATTTCTTTAAACAAACGCAGGGTGTCTGAAAGACGCTCGCAGAGGTATATATCGCAGGGACTGCGTGTGCAGCTCGCGCAACTTTACTGTAGTTTTGGATCAAGGTATATACTGTATTTCGAAATTGAAAGTATGGCTGTGAGCCCAGAGGCGTTGAATGAGATCCAGGCCGCTCTCAAGCAGGCCAACGAAGGGCAGCTTGTTCAGGCTTGCCACAATTTGATGGCCGCACTCACAAGGCACCATCTTCTTAGGAGCTCAGTCTTGTTGTCGGATGAAGTTGCGTGTCATCCGGAGAATAGAGATGGTTTCGGGCTGAGCGGACACGACGTTCACGCACTTCTTCATGGCCTGAGTGAGGTGGGGTGGGATAGTCGTGAGACTAACCCGATATGTTCGGAGGTCGGATCAAACCACGCGGATGTTCTGTCGTTCAACCAAGAGTTGGTGAGAAGCTCTGGGGGCTTGTTACCGGATGTGGTTCCGACTTCGATGCGGTACGCATCTTTGGCTGGCTCTCATACCAATGCAGCTTTGAGAGCCCTCCGCCACGAAGTGAAACTTCCACAAGATCATGGATCCGGTCCCCTGGCACTGGAAGGCAAACTGTCGATGGCCCGAGCTCGATCTCATGATCCACAGCTGTACAAGGCAGCTGAGGAAGGCATGATCTGGCGGATTGTGTCCAAGGAGGCTGCAGCGATCGAAGGTGTGCCACAGCTGATCCAGGCAGCATCCAATACCTCCGGCCACTTGCAGCGGGGAGAGCATGAGTGGCAAATCTTGCTGCGCATGAAGGGCATGATTGAAAGGTCCACCTCTCCTCCAGAGTGGGCCCAAGTTCGAAAAGATGTCATGAGGACCAAGCCAGCCTGCGCTGAAGCCACCCCCTACATGTATCAGTTCTTGCTCAAGTACATGCATAAGAGATTGCTGGCAAAGATTGAGAGCAGGGTCAAGAAGAATGTGAGCACGAAGAAGGTGCTCGGGACAGAGTTCTTTTTGAACTTGTCGGCCGCGTCGAAGGATTGGCAGGCGCAGCATGTTTGGTTTCGGCATGCTTTGCTTGGCCTAGCCTACAACTCAGAGAAGTTGGTAGGGGCCAGTGATGCCCGACGAATCTTGTCAAAAGATGTCCCCAGCCGTGGCGAAGGCGGAGGGGTTGATGATCAAAATGCAGAAGCTCTTGGACAGCGTCGGTATTCCGGAGGAATCCGTGCAGCGGGTGCAAACTTGTTTTGATAAATTCCAAGATGGCTTGGTCTTGGAAGTCCTTGAGAAGCGCAAGGACTTGACTCCTCAATCCATGGCGTGCGAGTTCATGGATGAACTTGAGGAGGTTCTTGGAAAGAGGCTTTCCACCGAGTTCGATGCCCATAGGAAGCATGAGAGCTCCACCCCATCAGCTCCTGCGGCAAGCCCGGGTCCCTCAGTGATTCCGCCAACCGGACAATTTCATCAAGAGTTTTTTGTGCGTAGTGAACCTACAAAATAGTTTGATGTCATTCACTCTCCAAAGCGTTTCTTGCACCGCGTATTGGGTCGGACAGCTTTGCAAGGAGTTCCTTTTGTTTTTTGGTGCATAGTGAACCTACAAAATAGTTTCACAGTTCATTCACTGTCCAAAGCCTTTCTTGCGCCGTATATTCAAAAACCCTTGTCCATGTCAATTCAAGGCGCGAGTACGATGAGTTTGGGAAGATCAAGGAAGAGGCAGTGCTGGTGAGAGAACAGGGCTTTGTCGAAGGCGCATCGGTTCTTCGCAAGAAGGACAAGGTTAGGGCCACAATCGAGAGTTTGAAGGGGTCGAAGGTCAAATTGTCTTTGGACACAGAGGATGTTTCTGGATACTTTGAGCTTTCGGCTGGATCTTTCTTGAGAGGAGAATGGAAAGTAGTGAAGAAACATGTCGAGACCACACAATATGAATTTGACACCTTCTCTGACCATACGGCGCTCAAGTCAGATGCAATCAATCTCATGTGCGCCAAGGGTGAGGTGGCCAGGCGCTTCATTGAATTGGATCAGCAGCACGCCAAAGTGCTTGAGGGATTGAAACTCCAGGTGAAACCTTCCAAGGCAGTCTTTTGCACAAAGCCCTTTGCCAAAAACAAGTTGATCCTCATCCCATCAACATGGAAGATTGAATCCAAAGAGGCGAGCTCTGGCCTTTCGATTGGAACAATCAGGGATGTGCCCTTGAGTCTCTTGCCTGCCTTCCTGCATTCCAAGGACGGCGACTTGACTGGTTCGTTCCTGCAGCCTTTTTGGACGGTCAAGAGAACCCATGTTCTTGAGGATGCAAATTGTGAGATTCGCCCCAGCTTGACAGACACAGAGAACAATTCTGTCAAGATCCCATGTATGTACAACACATGTGCTTTGAAGCCCAAAGACGAGTTGATTGTCTATACGCCCCAAGTGAAAGCGGAAGAGGAGCCAGAGCCACTAGCTCCCATCGCCGCGCCACCGCCTGCCAAGCGCGCCAGGACCAAACCCAAGGAGTCATAGGAGCACTTTAATGCCACAACTTTTGCGGCGCAACATGGTGCCAGCCACCGACTTGAGCTCAATGATGGGAAACAGTGAGTGTGCTCGCGGTGAAACTTTGTTGTGAGGTCTGGAAGTTTGGTATGTTCTTTGTTTGGCCTTTCTGAATCACAGAGGCGCAAAAACCAAACCTGTGTAAGCTTGTCATGGAGGCTGGTTGGTCACACGACTTTGAGCCGGGAGCCTTGTGATATGCGGGGGCAAGTGAAGAAATGATTTCCGGACTGTGAAGTTGCTCTCGCAAATGTCTTTGTGTGTGATTGCAAGAACTCTTGATTGGCAGAGCTTGTCATCTTACAATGAAACGTGATTTGGTAAACGTTTGAATGTGTTTGCAAGAGTTCTTGATTGGCATTGCGTGTCATGTCAAAGCGAACCTCCAAGATGCAACCCTTTGATACGTTTAAGTGGCAGGGCTTGTCACAGCTCAGGCTCGCAAGCAAAGGCAGGGCCTGAACTTGGCTCGTCTTAGATTCGATAGATTGTATATTGCCCATGGCCGAAGCTGAAGTCGTAGAGAGCGAGAATGAAGAAGAGCTCATGCAGCAGGACCCTTTGGATCCAGCCTGCTTTATCATGCAGCCGACCTGGCTGCTCAAATCAGGATCAGTGAAGTGGTATCCTGAGATCGACACGCAGGGAGGAGTAGACTTTGTGAGGCTGAGCAAATTCGATCGCCATTTTGTCAAATTCTGTCTTCAAAGGCCTATGGATTTGTCTCGAGGTGTGGGGAGATCGGCCAACAGCACACTCTTTGAGGATTTGCTGGCTTTGCGGAAAACCGCCAGCGTTGCCTCCGTGAGCGCGCAAATGGAGATGCCTGAAGCTGATGAGCCCGCGAGTCAGCGCCGCAAGAAGAGGGTGCGGGACGAAGATGTGTGCTTGGTGGATCCTGTTGTTAGGATCTTGCTGCCAGGGTTCGAATTCAAAGGGGAGATGTATCCCTCCCGGGAGGTCCAGGTCTTGTTCGGTGTGAAGTCCAAGGACCTGTGGATTGAGTTGTCCCACAAGAACATGGCCTACATGAGGGCTTTGGTCCAAAAGGGCGAGGGGCAGGTGCCTACGAGGAAGAAGCGTGCGTCGCCCAAGAAGAAACTGAAACGCATGGCACCCTTGGCCGATACTCCATCACCAAAAAAAACAACGGCGAGCAGCTGGAGAAACTTTGAGCAATGAGACCGAGTTTCCCAACACTCAGGTCGAACCATCGGTGCATCATTTTGATGTGCACGAGTAGGCATTCTTGGTGCTGCTTCAAAGCGCAGAGCTGCTTTGTGTTTTTGAATGTGTTTGAATAGACGGAGCCCGGAGCCCTTTGAAAGAAATAGGCAAATCATTTGAGCTCGAGTCAGGAAGGTGTGCGTTTGAGG